GCTCGTCTCCCTTCTTGGCAGAGGTCGACCTGGTTTCCCGGTGCTGGGTCGGGATCTTCTTGCCACGGGTCATGGTTTCGTGTGGCTGTGGCTGGCTGGCAGAGGCGGTACTTCTGAGGCTGCTGTCGAAAGCTAGGTCCCTTCGGAGTAGGCAAGGCTTGTTAGAGTATTCTGAAAAGAACACCCAAGCGTGCTTCCTCCTCAGTTCACTAGACAAACGAGTAACAATTGGCTGGTACATCTGCGTTATCGGGCGGTAGAGCGAGCGTGAGCTCATCAGCAAGGGCAGAAGTCTAACTCAACTGGTACTAGTAGCAGTCTGATTGTATGTCGGTGTTGCCCCAACAGCAAGGGCAGAGGTCTAATTCTGATGATTTTAGTAGCACGTCTGATTGTACGTCTGTGTTGCCTTTCCTCAGAGCGTAGATTAGATCCCCTGGTCACTCCTTGCTGCACCATTCTCATCAGACTGTGATGTTCGATTTGTGCTTCTGCTTAGCTCAATCACTCCTACAGGGCCCTGATGACATCTAGCATGTCAAGCATCATATTACCACCAAGTGGTGCAGAAACAGTTAATCTATCCTCCTGTTTATTGCCCAACACACCTACATTCCCAGAAAAAAATATCCACAGAATGCTAACAACCCAATACTTCTAAAACAATTTTTTTTTCATGCTGCTTATAAAGCAATGATACCCAGTGAATGGAGCTAGTAAATAAATGTAAAAAATCAGCACTTGTAGCATCAAATCACTGCACATATATCAATCTTTATTCATGAACTGAAACTGAATTAGTACAAAACTAATGTGAAGTAGAGAGAGTTAATATTTAGAAATATGCACAACAATCAAGTGATCCCTACTCTGCATAAGGCACTCTGCTCAAGTGTAATCTTATACAAAAATAGAAAAATCGCATATTGAAACTTGAAACATCTGGCAATTTACATTTACAATAAAAAGTTACCTGAAGTAAAGGATCATTGTTCAAGCCTTACCTCTACAACATATACAGCTTGAGCACCCATATAAATATAAACATTTTTTTAACCGTCTTGGTACCTCTAGTTTTTTTTTTTTTTTTTAGGTTTGCATAAGATAGGAAAATTTCAAGAGAAGTGAAGAAATTATGGTCAGCATCAAGAGGAAAGATACAACAAAATGTGAAATAAACGTAAACAGAACAATTCTTAAGCAAGTTAATAGACACAACTATCTTGGAATAACCATAATATCTGATGCACGATGCCTTGCAGAAATTAGAACAAGAATCATCATAGCAAAATGCAAAAGATTCTCACTAACAAGAAGATGTCACATGCAGTGAGAAAAAGTGTTAAAGTGTTATGTAGAATGTGTGTTATATGAATGTGAAACATGGACAATGAGCAGGCAAGATGAAAAACATTTATCTGCTGCAGTGCTGTGGTTTCTGAAAAGAATGCAAAGAATATCATGAAAGGATAGAAAAACGAATGAAACGTTTCTCGCTAAGACAGATGAAAGTCAAACTTATTAGAACATTTTTAGACGCAGACAGTCAGTGTTTTTTGGACAGATGAGAAGGAAGGGAATCCAGAACTTGATAACAACTGGCAAGAGTGGTGGAAAGAGAGCAAGAGGGAGGCAAAGAGCTAAATACCTAGATGGCCTGGCCATATGGATGGGGGGAGACCAAAACACTGTACTGATCTGCGATTCTGGCGATCGTGTGAGATGACAAAACATGACAGCCTACGCTGATCATCACAGCCTACGCTGATCATCACATTTGAATTAAGTGATCAGAAAGAACACCATCACATGACAACATTATCAAACTATAAACACACACAAAAACATGTACAACTACAAGCACAATTCCAGAAACATAATGTAGCTCTTCTGTTTTGGACTACACTCTGGGGTTCTGGGGCCCCACTGTGGGGAAAAACAAGAACAGACCCACTGCCTTACCAACAAGCATGTCGGAGAGTTGACTAACTGGGGCCTTCCTTCAAAGTGCACATGCCCGAGAGACAAGGAACCAACAATCTGCATTCAAATAATTCAGATTTGTAAAATGGATGTGCATGCAACACTCAGGTTCTGGAACGAGACTAAAAATCCAGAGGTGGATGAATAAACAGAACTTTCTGCTGGAGTTTACAGCTGGTGAACACGAAGAACTCAACTGTGTCAACACCAGTGGGTTTCTCAGCAGATGATCACTATGGCAAATTTCTTATAGTATAAACTGTAGGGCACTGGAAATAATGTCTGTCCTCAACCCTGTCTTGTACACTGTCAATTTATGATACAGATGCTCTTTCATGTCATAATGCCAAAGTCCTGGGAAATGGACAGGTGGACAGACTGGCTGGCTCTGCATGACTTGGTGGAATACTGATGCATAATAAGGCAGATATGGTTAAGGCCTTATGGGAGCACATGTGCAATTCGGAGGAGCAAACAGATCCTCAGTCTGGTGAGAGTGATACAGCAAGGAGTGATGCGGGAATCTGGCTGATACTCGACGCTCAGAGGAAAAGCAAGGACATATAATCAGACAGCTACTAGTACCTTTGGTATCAGATTTCTGCACTGGCTGCTGAAGATGGGGACGGAGCCATTGTGGATATGCCCTGAGTGCTGTGATGCTGGTTCTTCAATCAACTCAATGCCAAAGCGTACAAAATCTTTCTCCTGATATGCTTAAAGAATTTAAATTGTCTTTTTATGATGTAGTCTATGTGTTTCTTTCTATTATATAACATTATTCTTCTGCTGCGTCTGCTCTTTAAATGAAGTATAGGCCCACAACCATCTCTCTCCAACATAACAACAACATAAGTAAACTGAAGGTAACCAAATATCTAGAAATCCATCCATACATACAACATACATTTTCACTTGAGTTCCTTACACTCCACTGAAAACACATCTGGAAAAAAAGGCAATGCAGCAATGGAGTGGGCTTGCCTCACATTCCGGACATTAGGAAAACGATGGTATTTATTGTTCATAGGATTGTAACTCCATGCATTTTGGAAAGCAGTGCTGCTTACATTCTGTTGAGAAACAGGATCGTCGCTTCTTTGAGATGTGAAAAACAGAACCACCTTTTTGTGATGTAAAACAAAGTTTGTATAGACAAAATTGTTGGGCATGATTGCCACTCCTCTAATTGGCTGCACTGTCAATGGGGGTTCCTGAACACGCAAGAGGTGTATCTTCATGGTATCAGTTAACACAGTAGCAACCGCAAAACATTTACATTCCTTAGCCTCAAAGAGAAACAGGGTCAGGAGTTTGACCCTGGGAAGCTTGATCCCAAATGGTGAGATGGTCACGGTCAGAGAAGTCCAGTCAGTGCTTCCGAGAGTGAAGGAGTATATGGTCCACTCGGAGCTGATGTAGTATATGCAGTTGTCAGTTGTGGTGGCTGGAGGATTAATCTCATGGACAGGCATAGGTGGCAGTTGTTCCCAGTCTCCTGAAAATGGACAGTGGGAAGTCAGAAATAACAGGAAAGTACAGGATTCTCTAGAATGCCGAAGGTTGCACCAATTACGTGGTGTTAGCTCCATTTTTTTTTTTAAATAAATCAACTCTCTCATGATCATATTTGCAGGCTTCATTTCCCAAGAAATTCACTGGTATATATCAAAGGCTTAGTTAACCTGGAAGACTAGATTAGTGAAATACAATCAGGGCAATTTTGAACTAAGATACCCGGGCCCGCAAGCGTAACTATTAACACTGTAATGGGTTACATGAAAAATGATGTTGACTCCATTTTTTTTTTAAAAATGAATCAGCACTTGATGGGGTAATCATGTCTGCTACCTCTATTTAACTGGAAATTCACTGCTATACATCAAGGGCAATGTTGACCTGAGAGACCAGATAGTGAAATAAATTCAAGGGAAATGTAAACACAAGATGCCCCGCCCCGGCTGGCATGTAATGGGGTACATGAAAATAAAATGATACAGATTGAACTGCAGCAAAACTGCAAAATACAGTAAATAAATAGTATATATATATATATAGTTTACATAAGGTCACAAAAGACAACCAGAAATGTCCCCCCCCCCCCCCCCCCCCCCCCCCCCCCCCAAAAAAAAAAAAAGTGCCGCTAGAAAGCCTTTCATTACCATACAAAAGCAAAAGGAACAATGGTATAAAACTGAACAATTCCAGAAAAGTCAAGTTTTTCTAGAACAGAACACATTATTAAAGACTTCTGCAGATGGTCAATGGGGACAATACCATCTTCTTTTAGTTCAAGATGTGGGCCATGTGTCATCATGTCTCTCCACAACCTTCTGTCTCATGTATTATCAATCATTTCTGATACAAACGCACTTCTACATCCTGATGCCATTTGTTCGTTATAAACTCTCCTGCTCTTTTTCGGCCCATATTCCCTTCCAATTTACCCACTGTCACACAAGTCTAGTGTTAGACTTTTTTCAATAAAATTGTCTTTTTTTTTTCTGATTCAATGGTAATCAGTTATCCCTGTGAAGATATGTCCACCCAGAAATCAAAATTACATCTTTGATAAGGCAATGTAGCAATGGAAAGAGCTCTCCTCACATTCTGGACACTAGGAAAACAATATTCATCGGTCTTCGGGTCAAAACTATTATGTGTTATTGAGAGCAAAGTACTGACTATACGGAGTCTGTTAGTTTCCGCTGGCATGATATACTTTTCAAAACACTGTCACCCATCTGGTTGTGACAACCCTGATTCAGGGGTAATCAGTTAACTTTGTGAAGAAATGTGTGTCCAGAAATCTACATTACACCTTTTATCCATCAACGGTGTTATCCTTCTATAAAACCACCTCTCTGAAGTTGTTTTGGCAATTAACAGAACAGAAGCAAACACTCTTCTTTTTTGTTTAACTGGAGCACATATTCTCAACCACCTGTATCCAACACACGACAAGTAAACTGGAGATAACCAAATATTCAGAAATCCAACTAACCCTACAACAAACTTTACAACAGTTCCTTACACTCCAATGAAAACACATCTGGAAAATAAGGCAATGCAGCAATGGAGAGAGCTTGCCTCACATTATGGATATCAGAAAAACAACTATATTGATTGGTCATCGGGTCAAAACCCCATGCATTTAGGAAAGCAGCGCTGCTTTCATTCTGTCCAGAAAACGGATCATCACTTTTCTGAGATGTAAAAAACAGCACCAGTTTTCCATTTAGGGTAACAAAGTTTGCAAATGTGAAATAGATCGGCATGTCAGCCACTTCTCTAAAGGTCTGTAAGGTCAATGATGGTGCATGAGCACGCAGGAGCTGTATTTTCAAAGTGTCCCGAAACAGAGTAGCAATAGCAAAGCATCGACTCTCTCCAGCCTTGAAGGGAAACAGGGTCAGTGGTCTGATTTCGGGGTGAGCAGGTTCCGGTGGGGTTAAGAAGTCCAGGTGGGTCCAGTCTTTGGTTTCAAGACTGAAGCAGTGGAGAGTCCAGTGCGAGCTGATGTAGTATATGCAGGTGTTAGCGGTGGTGGCTGGAGGGTTAAACTCATGGACTGGCATGGGTGCCAACTGTTCCCAGTCTCCTGAAAATGGACAGTGGTGAGTCAGAAATAACAGGAAACTCAAGGATCGCTTTATAATACCACCAGCTGTACTGCAGGGTACACAGTGTCAGCTCCATATTGTTTAAAAAATACCCAACATGGGTGATCATGCTTGCTGCCAATTCTCAGGAAATTTCCTGGCATACATTTTAGGCTAAGTCAACCTAACAGACTAGATTACTGACCCCAAAAAAATATCAAAGGGGATTCGAACCCATGACATCAAAGTCAGCAAGCCAAACTATTAATATGGATAGTGGTGAGTCAACAGCACTGGCAAGCAAGTTAAAAAGCTGGGGGATTAAGTGGTCTTGAGGCATGGCATCCACCTTGAGTGCTGGAGGTTCCGGGTTCAGACCCTGGTGAAGGCTGGAATTTTTTTACGTGGATTTCTAGTACTCTGGTCTCCAGGTAGTAAGATCGGACTCCAGTATCTATTCTTGCGCACGCAATACATCCCTTGGCAGTTGAATGTCAAGGAAAGAATGCCCTTCCACACTGGGAGGCATAGACAGCATAGAGCTGGGGGATTCTTTGGGCTCAGGCTTGAGTCAGAAGTAGAATGGAGCACTTATGGGTTACCCCTTGTGCCGTGATGTTGATCCACTGTCTAAACCTAAACCATACACAGCATACTGTGCTAACCCAAGAGATGTGTGTCAAGACTTGTTGCAGATCTAAGTAATGGATTGGGAATTAGGAATCGACATCAGCCCCCCCCCTTACCCATAAGCGCTTCATCATCTCGTGGGCAACTGCTGATTTGTTGGCGACTTCTGCTACCATCAATGATGAACTGCAATTCTAATACTGTGATAAACATTCTGTGTGTTTTTCGTTGGCACAGGAGCGGAGCAAAGATGGGGTGACCCGTTTGCTATGAAGCTGAAACTAAGACTACCAGACTACCAGGCTTCATCATCTTCAGAGTTCCGGATTTGATGGTACCAGTAACAGTCTTATTGTTTATTTATCTCGGCTTTCCCTTAGTTGCTAAGCATGGGTCAGATCTGGGTCACTTCTGACGGTACCATTCTCCTCCGACTGTGATGATCTACTTCTGCAATGTTCACTCGCTTTCTCAAAGGACCCTTGCAACATCTAACTTGTTGTGCATCAATTCACCACCAAGTGGTGCAGAACCAGCCAACCTATCTGCCTGTTCATTTCCCAACACACCAGCATCGCCTGGAGAAAATACTCAAGGGACACTAACTACCCGGGCCCTCTAAAGCAATGCTTGTAATTCCCAAACTGGCTGCCTTTACTTCTTAAAAAATGTCCTGGTATCTACTGTAGGCTTGGTCAACCTCGCAGACAAATAAATGTCAGTGAAAAACGATTCCCGTCTTCAGGGAGACTTGAAAGTTAACCTCGAGCCAGGCAGGCCATTGTGAATGATAAATACATTTTGTTTTTGGCAGCACAGCACTGGTAGGATATACTTTTCTGAACTTGTTGTGACCCATGTGGTTGTAACACTAAACTACTCTGTACAGAGGTGACTACATAATCATCATTAACATCATCATGTGCCCTGCCAACTGGCAGTAGGCACTCATACATCTCCAGAGCCCTGCCAACTGGCGTAGGCACTCATACATCTTCACGGATCACGATCCCTGATTGCCTGGAACAGCTCTCTTGATGATATCCCCCCCATGACATCGTTTCAGCCCATCCAGCATCATCTCTCTTGTTCTGCCTCTACCCCTTTTCCACTGATCTCTCCAATGTCTCCCTTCTCATTACGTGGCAAAAGAACAGTGTTTTTCTCTTTCTTATTGTTGCATATAGAGATCTACTTTCATTAGCTTTCGATCGTTGTTAGTTACTCTGGCCGTCCAAGGTATTCATTACATTCGTCTCAGAAACCCCATCTCTGTTGCTTCCAAATTCTTCTTAATTTGTTCATTGACATTCATTCCAAGATTTGCTGCCATACAGCAGAAAAGGTTCTATGTAACATTTTAGCACTCTCTTTCTGACTTTAAATGATAGCGATTTTTTGCAACAGATATTTTTCATTTTGACTACATAATCTTGAGCTAAAAATGGGACAACCTACTAATTTTTTCAGCTGAAAACAGGTTCGCCCAAAAAGCCAGTTTTATCCCACCCCACACAAATGATTCTAGAATTTATTATTATTATTAAAAGTTCCCCGAAACTATTAAATCTAACATAGTCTTAATTTATAATTACTTGTATTTTCTATTCTGAAGTTTATTACCAGAACTTTATAAAACGAGACAAGTGATGGTTTTTATTTTTATTTTTCAAGTACTGATGGGATGACTGTCACACCTAAAAGATGTGACTGTCCCAGTGAAAATGGGATGTATAGTCACCCTATGTACCATTACTTACTTTAACTCCTTACCTTCCCATACTGCTATTATATTAATTCTTCAGACCTAAAAACTTTTACCTAAAGTTTTTTTTTTTTGCTTATTTATTTCCCCCTGGATTGCCTTCTGAGAGATCAAACCCACTGCAACTTCATTGTTTCAGACACCTCTTTCCACTATAAAGGTTAAACTGGGGTACCAGATGGTCACAATGTACCGTATTTTGGTTCTTTATTAATATCCTACCCAAGATGATGTCACAGGATAGTTCAACATTTTAGAGTGTGGTAAGACTGGGTTTTCTGGCTTTCTGATGCTTTTATTGACACTAAAACATACAGAACTGGCCCTAACACCAACCCACCTACGCCCCACGAGAGAGTGCAGCCTAGGTCCTACGAGTGCATGAAGCCTAGGTCCCACGACTGCATGCAGCCCATCTACCACCCTCTGAAATATTAGACTGTCCCATGACTTGTGGATTTCCCCTGTTTGGGGTAGGGTATTAATATAACACCTATATTTTTCTGTGCATTAGACGATACATTTTTCAAAATTTATCAAGTTTAAGCTGGCATATGTTCACCACTTCATGCACAGAGTGCCGAATTGTCTATAAAGTACGGTCTAGTCCTATATGCCCAATACACCTGAAGGTGTAGAAAAGGCTCTTTTTTTTTTAAATTAGGTTTAAAAAAGGGAGTTGTTTTATGCACACAATGTCACTACAATATTTATGTCTTAATTCTGAGCTTAAATGAAAAAAAAATTTTTTTTAATCAAAACAGGATTGGGGGGGGGGGGGGGGGCACATCTGGTAACCCGTTGTCCAATGTGGGTTGGCCGTCAATTTTGCTTTTACTTTGACTATATTTTTTAAAAATAAAATGAGATGTAAAGTAATTCTTGTATGGTACTTCAAGTGTTACAAGCAAGAAAACAATGGAATCTTACCGGAGTTAAGATCCAGACTGTGCATCTGGACATTTTTGGTTCGAAACTTCCCAAAACCGCCAAAGATGTACAGTTTCCAGTTGAGTATCACCATCGTATGGTTGCGACGAAATTCAATCAGGTCTCCCACAGTCTCCCAGGGGGCATACGGTTTTGACACGTCAAACCTCCAGATCTGCCTGATCCAGTTAACTTTGCCAAAGTCTGGTCCGCCACCTGAGATGTACACATAGGGACCTGAGCAGAGAGTGGTAAAAATGTATGGTTTAATTCCTTAACTCTTTCAATGTTAAGGGCCCCAAGTGGTTCCTGTGGCCCTAATTTAATGGGGGGGGGGGGGGGGAATAGATCCACTACTCCCCATACAACAAGCATGTCAAAATTATGTGACTATCCGGAGTTTTGCTGAAACTAAATGTGCTGGCCTGAAAGGTGCAGATATCAAAGACTAGCTGTAAACCAAATGACAATGTGCCAACACGTCTTGTAAGGGGTGACTGCAGAAAAACAATCCTAAGGACATCTGTGTCAGTCCTAGAATGCCTTTTTTTCACTCTGTGTGTTCAAAACATCACAATAGAGGTCTTCTTAGATTTTGTAACTAGTCAGCACATGTTAATGAAATCTGGCCAACCCCTGTTGCGAATTCCTTTATCTTTGCTGTTGTTGGCACCTTCCTATCTTTCCAGACAACTGCTATATTGTGCTAGAAGATGGCAGCTTTGGTCAATTAAGCCAAGCTTTTTTCTCTCCACAGAATTAAGCCCTGGCAGTACTGTAAAGATCATGTGTTGCCTCTGCAGCATTTAATCTGCCTTGTTTACTCAAGGTAATACTAATATATTTGGAAAAAAAGCATGCTGCAGAAGCTGACAGATCAGAGGAGTGGTGCTGTATCTGCCTGCATATGGCAGCCTTCCTTCTAGGCCAGCTGCCAACCAAGGCTAAGGGCCTTGTCTGCCTCCCATAACTTGATAAGGCTCCTAGGATAAGGCTAATAAATACCCTTCTTATGCGCTCCTCCGTCTGAAGCCACAGGTACAATGTAGGATGTCAGATTTGGAGTATGCTCTCCAACATTCCATGTCAAAAGAGAACAGGTAGTACCACCTTTCTGTTATCTTTACAGTCTTACAAAATGTGTAGCATGTAATGTCCTGGTGTGATTTTTAAATATTATTGTGAGATTTTGAGGAAATATTGCCAGGTTAGGTTAGTTGCGTATCCTTTACAGGATGTTGCAGAACCAACCCCTGGCTGTTGTGTGGTTTTTCTAGGAAAATTTATGAACAGCAGTTTGCCATTGCTTTATGAACGGTCGGCTTTCTTGATACCACTGTCGAAATTAACGCAAGACGCATGGCCCGCAGCTGGGATCGAACCCAGCATCCCGGCATTACGAAATATTGCCAGGACCAAAAAAAAATTAATTAAATGTAGAATACCCAAGCAAAAGCAACATTTCACAGGATGAACAAAATGCTATGCAATCTTTATCATCTAAGATAATCAAGAGAGTTCTGAAGTGCTATACAGGGTCAACCCGGATGTACTGAAGTGAATCACAAAACCAACTCCATTGTCTTCCTTTCAGAACATGTGCAAGGGATGGACATTTGAGTTATCATCTCAGTACATCATTTGTGATCTTGTTGGGCCAAAATACTCGCATGACTCCTGTTAAACATTTATTTTGGTATAAAGATGTGTGAAAGCAGGACATGAATGATACAGGTATTGAGGTGGACTTATGGAGACAAAATGCCATTGACCGTGTTGTGTGGAGAGGGCATATCAGGAAAGGAATGAGAGTGAAAGAAGAAATGATTGCAGAAAAGACGAGAACTGGGCGTCTGAGAAGAAATAGATTAAAACACAAATGTTGACAACAATGGTCCTGAAATCCTAAGCTATCATTGTGGAAGACTTTTCTTAACACGGGCGGGTCTTGCTAGTCACACTCGCTATCTCCATCCGCATAGCACAATATAACACTATCGTCTGGAAAGACTGAAAGGTGCCAATAAATCAATCACTTATTTTGAAAAGTCTCCAGATTTGTATTATGCTAGCTCAATATTTCTCTAAGAAAATTAAAATTATGAAAATCTAGTTTCTCAACATTTATCCAAATTACAAAACTATGAAAGAATGGGTTCTCAACAGTTACCCAAATAATATAAAACTATAAAAACCTTTTTTTTTTCTAAACATTTAACTTCTGTGGGTCTGTCTATGGTGATAATCCTCAACATTTAACTAAGGAACTCATGGTTTCTAGACATTTGCCTAAATAACACAAAACTATGAAAGCCTGTTATCTCAATATTTATCATACAGAACATAAATTTATGAAAACTTGGTTACTCAACATCTGCATATGAAACATAAAATTAAGAAACCCTGATTTCTCCCCATTTACAAACTGAAAAACCTGGTTTTTAATAATTTTAAAAAATAACACAAGACTATAAAAGCCTAGTTTCCCATCATATACCTAAACAACGTAAAACTATACAAGCCTAGTTTCTCAACATTTACCTAAATAACTCAAAATTATCAAAGCCTATTCTCAACATTTAGGTAAATAACACAAAATGACGAAAGCTCAGTCTCTTAACATTTATCTAAATGACACAGAACTACAGAAGTTTAGTTTCTCAACATGTATCTACATAACAAAAGTATGAAAGATAGGCTTCTTAACATTTATCTAAATAGCACACAGCTATGAAAGTCAAGTTTCTCAACATATTATGAAACCCAGGCTTCTCAATATTTACCTAAATAACACATAACTATTAATCTGAGATTTTTTAACATTTACCTAAATAACAGAAAATTTAGAAAGGTTGGTTTCTCAACATGTAAATAAATAACATAAAACTAGGACAGCGATTTTTTGCAACATTATTTACCTAATTAACATAAAACTATGAAAGCCTAGATTCTCAACATTAACCTAAATAAGGCAGAACTATGAAAACCTAGTTTCTCAACATTTATATAAAAAACTATGAAAAACATGTTTCTCAACAGCTACCTAAATAACACAAAAATATTAAAGCCTGATTTCACATTTACCTAAATAACACAAAATTATAAAAGCCTGATTTCACATTTACCTAAATAACACAAAAATATTAAAGCCTGATTTCACATTTACCTAAATAACACAAAAATTTTAAAGCCTGATTTCACATTTACCTAAATAACACAAAACTATGAAAGCTGGATTTCACATTTACCTAAATAACACAAAACTATGAAAGCTGGATTTCACATTTACCTAAATAACACAAAACTATGAAAGCTGGATTTCACATTTACCTAAATAACACAAAACTATGAAAGCCTGATTTCACATTTACTGAAATAAAGCAAAACTATTAAAAATATATTTCTTAACAGTCACCTAAATATGAAAACACTGAAAACTGGATTTCACGCCCGGACCCAGGTCAGGCCCACCTTCAGAGACTGTATAGGAAGTTATAGGCTGTAACAATCATTGATGAAGGAGTTTTCTACTGATTGTGGTGGACCCCTGCTGTGCATGCTCCCCTGTGGAGTTCTTATTACCTAAATAACACAAAACTATGAAAGCTGGATTTCACATTTTCCTAAATAACACAAAACTATGAAAGTTGGATTTCACATTTACTTAAATAACATAAAATTAGGAAAGTTGGATTTCACATTTACCTAAATAACACAAAACTATGAAAGCTGGATTTCAAAACATTTACCTAAGTAACAAGCAGCAGACCCAAGCTGAAAGCCAGGCTTCTCTACAATGTCTGTCATTGTGCCAAATTTAATTGCACTTCCTGTCTCCATATCCAGCTTGAGAATATCCACTAGTCCTTCGGAAATTTTTGAAGAGGTCAACATAGCCCAGAACATAAAAACATCTTCCTGTCTCTTTCGTGTAGCTAAACAGGACTGAAAGGAAAGAAAAACAAATCATCTGTACTTTGAAAATAAAGACTGGATTCTTTTATGAATTTCCCAGCTCTGAGCTCAACGTCCTTCAATCCTTTCAACTGTTTTTTTTTTTGGCTCCTAACTTTCCAACATTTATTTTCAGTAACAAACTGATTATAGCTGCATAGTATGAGTAAGACATGGATGTGCTCTGTTGAATCTCTTCTCTCTCACAACAGGGACATAATTATGAGGAAGGCATACTGAAAGTTTAATTTGAACTGGGCAGTGTACAAGTGAGAATTCACAAGAAATGTTGGAGGCTGTGGTAATAAAGCACAAACAAATACACACATCTTTGAAAGAAATAAACTCAAGTTCTGATATCAAATCAGTACTGCTGTATGGAGCTGAAAACAGAGAAATACTGACTAAATTAATTAGTAATAAACAACTAAGTCAGCTCTGTGGCTAAGTCGATGCGAACGCTTCGCTTCGTAATGCCGGGATGCCAGGTTCGATCCCAGCTGCGGGCAACATGCCTTGCGTTGGTTTCGACAGTGGTATCAAGAAAGCCGACCGTCCAGAAAGCAATGGCAAACTACTGGATGTAAATTGCCTAGAGAAACCACACAACAGCCAGGGGCTGTTAGGGTTGGTTCTGCAACGTCCTGTAAAGAATTCGCAACTAACTAATAAACTACTAACATTTATGAACTGGTGAGTCATGGTAACGCAGTGGCTACACCTTTGGCTGCAAGCCCGAAGGTAATGAGTTTGATTGTTCATGCTGTTCCTTTCCCCAACAGAAAAACAAAAGTATCCAAGTTCAACCAGCTCCTGAGGATCTTTTGGATAAAACCAGCTCCAAGGGAATTTTTGGATACATCTGTGGATTAGTGTACTTGCACCAAATGGCTATGACTGGTTTCTGGTGACATTATTACTGGCTTATCTCTGCTGCTGTTTGTTGGTATCTGTCACTGACCCAGGCTCCCCGCCGGCGGCTGGTGATGAGTTTGAACCTGGCTCATACGCTGACACAACTAAACTGGATACCAGGAAACGTCCTCACAAGTAAAGGTGACTGACATGTTGCTGACCACATCATCCATCCAGTGCTGATTCATCTATACAAATATTGGCCTATCATCAAATGCCCAGTGGGCCTTGGCAGAAATGAGCCCTTTACTTTGTCACCATTCCTTAACTTGTAAGAGATCAATTTACTTTTCTAGGTAGTAATTTTGGGCTCTCCTTGCAACTACGGCCACATATTGGGGGAGTACGCCGGAGTCCAGTCCCCTGGCCGCATTGCAATTACGGAGTGGAGAAGAGGGAACGAAACAAATGACGTAATTAGTGTGTTGGCGATAGACAGCATGAGCGATAGAAAGCGTGCAGTGCACTGCTGTCATCATAGGGTTAGGGTTTAGGGTTAGGGGTAGGGTTGGGTGCAGTGCACTGCTGTCATAGGGTTAGGATTTAGGGTTAGGGTTATGGTTTGGGTTAGGGTTAGAGGTAGGGTTAGTCTTGCGTCGCAAGAACGCAGTCGCTAATTTGAGTCGCAGCGCGTGGTCTGCCAGCCATGTTGACCTCACTTTGTTGTGTGATTCGATCCTTCTCCATTCCTTAATTGCAATGCGGCCAGGGGACTGAACTCCGGCGTACTTCCCCAATATGTGGCCTTAGTTGCAAGGAGAACCGTTTTGACAGTGAAGGAGATACAAAGAAAGAAAGAGAAGCATTCATTGCACTAGGAAATTTGTGGAAGTCAAAGGAAATTAAAACTAATAAACTTAAAATCTGTAATTCTAATGTCAAATCAGTACTGCTGAATTCAGTGGAAACATGGAAAAAAACTTTAAAAAAATATAACAATGACTAATAAACTTAAACTTTCTTACCTGGTGCCTGCGCAGAATAGAGGGAATTAAATATATGATAGAATAACTAATGTTGAGCTTCGGGACAGAACTAAAATTCTAAAGAAATGATACTCAAATATGATAGGACATGCGTTGAGAAAACTTGAGAAAAACATAACAAGAATGTCTTTGTACTGGAACCCACAGATGCAGAGAAATAAAGCCAGATGAAAAAACATGTAAAGAAAGGTGCTAGAGAAAAGTTAAAAAGACAGGTACTATATGGGGTGAGGTGCATGCATGCAGTAGCAAAGCATAAGATGGCCTGGCATAAGTTGGTTGAGGGCCTATGCTCCATAAGGAGATACAAGGGCAAAAGAAGAGGTTCATATAGTATGCACAGGTATATACATAGAATGAGTAAATATGGCAAATGCTCACATGATATAAAATGACAATATATAATATATATCTGGACAAAACAACAGAGATTATGAGTAAATACAGCTTGAATAAACATGATATAGACATAGAACACAGAAAACATTAGTGCTCAGAATTAGTAAATGCAGCAAAGACTTAGCCAGAAAAGTAAGACAGACTGATAGTATACAGTATACACAAATTATATAGATAAAAGCATTAAATGTTTAACTCTTTGAGTCCCAAGGAACGCATCATACGTTCATAGGTTACTACCTAGCAGTCCAATGAACGCACGATGCGCCGCTTTTATGTCTCTTGTGACTACCCGTTGGGCCTGTGATGCTAAACGCTCTGGGACTCAAAGAGTTAAAATAAGAGTGTGTGCATAGATGTACACAAACACACAAGTGCCAGCAGTGTGGGGTAAATCCTTTTCAGTCTACATGAAACTGTAGAGATTGCAGATAACAAGGCCCATTGGTGGTCGAGGCAGAAGTTCAAGCCCTAATTATTGAAAATTCAGCTGACGGAGGTGCAGTTAACTACACTGACAGATCTGCTCAACATGTACAAAGCTCATGGACTGTCATGGTTCTGGTTCAAGGTAAAACTGAAATGCTCCTAAGGAGGCAGAAAGAGACGATGATTTAGGAGACAATGTGTAAGCGGCAACACTCAAAAGACTATAAGAATTCAGGTCAAGAGGAGTCGCCAAATATGAACACTATACAGGTAGCCAAAGAAGAATAGTAAACCAACACAGAACTGGTGTTATAGGTCAACGTCCGCTGAGGGATATACTGAAGATAATTTAAAATGGACTCTGATGTGCAATAAGGCTAATTTGTAGGTTAACTAACTAACTAACTAAACTAACATAGATACACACATATAAAAAATTGTTACCTTAAAATGTTCAACTGGGAGACGTTCATCACTGAAAACTGCATTCATAATAACATCATGTGTATCTTCATCGACTTTCTTTAAAGACACACACTCGAGAATCATTTTCTTTACTTTGTCCTTTAAGCCAAAGTCGTGTAAACTGTAAGGAATGCTATTCTTGTTTGCACACAACCAGGCGTATATTGCTTCTAGGACATGGATCTCTGCCTCTACAACCAGATAAGTGTCAGATAAATAATCATACAGTTCTGATAATGACAAGCTAGTTAATGCAGTGGAATCTTTTAGTTCCCAGAAATGAGCAAGGCAAAATTTTCGTGCATCACAATGTAATTCTGTGAGGTTGAGTGGGATGCAAAAATGCATCAGCTCAAAGCATTGACTGACGTTAATGAATGTCTTTCTCATGAAAGATAATTGTGCTGAGTTCAGAGGGTCACCGATTTGCAACATTTCCGCAGCTTGTACAACTGCAAATGCATTATCTTCGGTTAATGCTAGACATCCTGTGTACATGCCATCAACTAAAATACTAAACACTTCTGGATTGACTAAATGCAGTTCGACGACATCCTTCCTGCTTTCGATCATATGCGAGGAAAACATGGCCCTGAAGTAATCGCTGGATTTCATGAGGATATCTCTGTGAACGTGAAACCGCCATGATTCTATCACCAATGTAATGTCAGATGGTCGTGGGTCAATAGCGGGAACCCATTCAATGACTTCTTGTTGGTCCTGCTGTAATTCTTCATCCAAAGGAAGATCCATTTTAAATATATAAGTATTATAAGGTTATCCCTTTTGCACCGCTAAAGTGTGATGCAAAATGCCCTCCTTCAGATGTTGCTGCTTGTTGGTTTTGGAACGGAAGTTTATCAACAAAATATGTAAATGTTTTGCAAGTCCACACCTATCATCGTATCCTTTCTTAATACTTATCTGGATTTTATCACTGAATCTATGAAACTCAACTGTTGACATCGTGAACACAGATTCTTTATACATTTCAGTCAAAAACACGAAGTCCAACTAACTTTATTTACACTTTGAACTTTCCTCAGAACTTGAACTTCAATTGTGAGCGCTGCTCAGCAGTTGGCCTAGCTGATTTCTCCGCTCACTACAATTTTTATGGTCAAAACTGATATCTATTCAATATATCAAATGAATCAGCGCCTTTCATTTTATGATCAAACCAGTCTGTCTACAGACGTTTATTCTTGATTCGGGGAAAGAAGCCTATTATTAGATGTAAGGAAACGAACAAGCTACAATCAAAATAACACACAAGTAGAACAGCCGACACGGGAAACTACTCTAAAATTGTGTATCTTATGAGTTCTCAGGAAAAATTACCGCCCCTTGCACGTTTGTTAACCCAGCGACTCTCAACCTGTGGGTCTCGACCATGGGCGCCCGCAGAAAATTTTCTAGAGGGGAGCAAAATATTTTAAGTAACGTTTTAATGTAGTTTTAATTTACTGTACCGTATTTGTATGGTGAACTAACGGTCAGGACACTGTAGTAATGAAGGGCATACTGTAGCAAAAAGGAAATTTTTTTATTAACACAATATATGTATATAACAAAAAATATTACAACATAAATTTAAAATAAAATTTATTGTTTAAACAAGAACTGGAGTCATCTGTTATCGCTACCGTACATATCTCTGTGTACGCTTAGCATGCGCTTGCTGCGATAATCCTTACGTCCTTTTCAGGACGTAATTTTTTGTTATTTGAAGCCCCACTCTGGCTTTTGCCAGGCGCCGCAATATAGGCAGGCCATAAAAATGGCCAAATGTCTGAACGCGGTTTCTGGGACCTCTCCACGGTGATCCTCATCCGCATGGTGGCACTTTGTGTCATCGGGTGTTTATCGCTTGTGTGATGTCCTGGTGGGGTAAAAAGCCAATCCAAGCCAACGCTTAGCATGCACAATCCAGACAGACGTTCATCTGACATTGTAGATCTAACCATGTTTTTACACGACGTAATGTGCTGAACGATCGCTCCACGGTACATGTTGTTGCTGGTAATGTTAGCAAAACTAGTGAGGCATACTTGACTCTCAGACAAAACTTTGTAAAAGTTAACTAGTCAATGAAATCTTGGCTACTTTTGTTCAGTTTCAAAATTATCAATGTGGTATACCTGATTAACAGTAAACATTATATCCTTAAACTGTTGACGATTCAGTTTGCACAATTTCGAAGGATGCAGCAACGCTAAGTTAAATTGTGCACTGTTGGCTTCACAAAATAGACTCTCCATTGAGTAAATTAGAGGATCTAAGTATGGAATGTAAACTGTTTGTCTGAAGTACTTACTCTTCAACACTTATGGTTCCTGGATTACTTCGATGCTTTTGTCTTCCACACTGTCTTGGGATAATCAGTTCAATATCCACTTTCTGTGCGAGTTGTACTATTTTCTCAAAAATATCCCTGAAATAGTTATCGGAATCACCTCGGTGAAGTTTTACTACACTGAGCAGATTTTGAACTTGCAGTTGGACTTCTGGAAGATCAACTTAAACAGCTTGAAGAGCCTGAGTAACTGGTTACAGTATGGCAGAGTACTGCGAAATAATATTATTAAGAAAAAAAAAAAAACGTGCTAGACTTTGATGAACAATATAACTGATGTGCAGCCTGTCGTGTATTTCGTGTTGAATATGATGACCATGGAGTATACTGGGTTAGCCAAGATTCCTAAAACAACTGTCACATATCACTCCTGTCGCGTGCCTAATGTAAGGATTTCTCCTTCAGAACCAGCAGCACTCAGAGATAATTTTGTTGAGTCGTTTGGCTCGTATTGGTCTAAGGGATTCCCCGTGGCCAATATACGATCAACTTATCTCTGGAGTAGGGCAACTCAAGTATTGGCACTACAAAATATGTCAATATATATATATATATATATATATATATATATATATTTCTAGGCACACTTGGCTGGACACCCCCACTACTTACTAAAGAAAGCCCCCAGGTTATGATAGTTCATTATCATAACCATGTTAACACATATAATGAAGATACATACACATACAACTGCTAAACACTTAAGAAGGTGACATAGAGAAACCTAAGTCAGCCATGAAAATGAATGCATGTATTTAGTATAATATCTGTACAAAAACAATTGAAGTGAATTCCAGCTATCAGTGAAAGAATTTCAGCACTAATGTCTAGATCCTAAGGAAACTAGGCAGACAGCCGGTCCTGGAGGTGACTATATGTCATCATGGGAACCAATGGAGCTGTGAGGAAACAAATAGCAAAT